CATTAAAGATTTTTCCAAAATCGCTAAGCCGCTCACTCAATTGTTGGTAAGGGATGCCCCTTTTGTGTTTTCTAATGATTGTTTGCTAGCCTTTGATAGGTTGAAGGAAGCTTTGATCACGGCTCCCATCATTCAACCACCGAATTGGGAGCTCCCTTTTGAACTCATGTGTGATGCTTCGGACTATGCCGTTGGATCTGTGCTTGGGCAAAGGAAGGATAAAAAGCTCCATGCCATCTATTACACTAGCAAAACTCTTGATGAAGCACAAAGAAACTACACAACGACTGAAAAAGAGCTCATAGCCATCGTCCATGCTATCGAAAAGTTTAGGTCTTACTTGGTGGGCTCCAAAGTTATAGTCTTCACCGACCATGCGGCTTTGAAGTACTTGCTGTCCAAGAAGGACGCTAAACCAAGGTTGATTAGGTGGGTCTTGCTCTTACAAGACTACGATATAGAAATTCGGGACAAGAAGGGTGCCGAGAATGTAGTAGCCGATCATCTCTCACGGATGATTCATTCCCGGATGATCAATTATTCACAATCATTCAAGCCCCGGCCCCATGGTTTGCGGATATTGTAAATTACTTGGCTTGCTCCATCCTTCCTCCCGACCTCACCTATCAACAAAAGCGGAAGTTCCTCCATGATGTCCGCCAATACTTTTGGGATGACCCCTTGCTCTTCAAACAAGGTGTTGATGGTCTTTTTAGAAGGTGTGTCCCCAACGATGAAATTCATGAAGTTATCACAATGTGTCACTCCTCACCTTGTGGAGGACATATGAGTGCTAACAAGACATTGGCGAGAATATTGCAATGCGGTTTCTATTGGCCCTCTATGTTCAAGGACGTATGGGGAGTTGTTAAAGCTTGTGACCGGTGTCAAAGGACCGGTAATTTGTCAAGAAAGAACGAAATGCCTTTGAATAACATTTTAGAGCTGGAAATTTTCGATGTGTGGGGAATAGATTTTATGGGACCTTTCCCATCCTCTTTTGGGAACAAATACATTTTGGTGGCCGTCGACTATGTATCAAAGTGGGTTGAAGCGGTTGCATCTCCTACAAATGATGCTAAGGTAGTAGTCAAGTTGTTCAAGAAAGTCATTTTCCCTAGGTTTGGTGTGCCACGTGCCGTAATAAGTGATGGAGGATCGCACTTTGCAAAGCGATCTTTCAAGGCTCTCCTTGAAAAATACGGAGTGAGGCACAAGGTGTCATTGGCTTACCACCCTCAAACAAGTGGTCAAGCTGAAATTTCAAATAGGGAGATTAAGTTAATACTAGAGAAGACGGCGAATAGGTCAAGGAAGGATTGGTCATCAAGGTTGGATGATGCTCTATGGGCCTACCGCACCGCCTTCAAGACTCCCATTGGCACCACCCCTTACAAGCTCGTTTATGGGAAATCATGCCATCTACCGGTGGAACTGGAACATCGTGCGCACTGGGCTATCAAAACCTTGAATTTTGATATCCAATCCACCGGAGAAAAGAGAATGCTTGACCTCCATGCCTTGGAAGAGTTGAGGTTAGATGCATATGAGAGTGCAAAGATCTACAAGGAGAAGACCAAAGCATGGCACGACAAGCACATCAACAAGAGAGAGTTCAAGGAGGGTGACAAGGTCTTGCTATTTAACTCCCGGTTGAAGTTGTTTCCGGGAAAGCTAAAATCAAGATGGAGTGGCCCTTTCACCATTACAAAGATATTCCCATATGGCGCCATTGAGATTTCCAACGACAAAGGTGAACCATTCAATGTTAATGGCCAAAGGTTGAAAGCATACTTCGATGGTTTCGTGCAAGAAGAAACAAAGGTAGTTCATTTAGATGAATTTGATATCCCTCGTGATTGAAAACGTAATATGGTCAAGCTAGTGACAATAAAGAAGCGCTTCCGGGAGGCAACCCGAGTATTTTAGTAATTTTACTCAAAAAAAAAAAAAAAAAAAAAAGAGAAAAAAAAGTGAGAAAAAAATGAAAAAAAAAAATGATGAAAAAGTGCCCAAGGATGAAACTCATATGACGATTATATGTTTTGCTTTCTTGACTCTTGAGTGATGAGTAAAAGTTTTTTTTAGAAGAGTGTGTGCACGAGTTGGGGGTCATTTAGAGGTCTATTAATCTTGATTACATTGGAGTATATGAAATGAAAGCCAATGAATGCTCAATTGCACGCCTAGTATAAGATATTGTCTAATTTGCTCAAGTAGGATATGTTTGAATAAATTTGTGGTCCCTTGTGCCCTTGATGTGTCCCCTTTCCTCCCCGAAATGAAACTCTATTAGGGAATTGGTTCTACTTGTATCATGTGTAATAAGTGGCGTAATAAGCCACACGTTCTCAATAAAGAAAGAGCCGCTCACAGTTAAAAGAGGCGAGGGCATTGAAAATTGAAAAAAAAAAAAAGAAGAGCATAAAAAAAAGGGGAGAACAAAAACTACCCCAAAACTTCTAAAAAAAAAATAAAAAAATAAAAATTCTCTTCTTTAGAGGTCAACTCGTGGATGCCTCCCACACCTTGTTTGCATTGTTGTTTCTTATGAAATTCCCGAGTTAGAGTGTAGTTAAGGGGCCTTGGGTGTGCATTTTGGGAGGTGGACTAGCATTTTGAGATTTTATAACCGAAAGAGGGCTTGTTACAACTTTGGAATATCTAGGTGTGCTCTAATGAAATAGTAAAAGGCCAAAGGAAGTATCCTAGTGCAACCTTGTTTAGTTCTCCTCTCTACCCCCAACTCATGTGTACATTTGTATGATTGGTAATTCTAGAAAGTTGTTCACTTGTCTTGCTTTTGAATCACATCCCGATGAGTTGACTTGGGCTATAAAAAAAAATCGTGTGTTGTTTTTGTGGGAGTTGTGGGTGATTCTCTTTGGAAACCCTCACGAGAGATGGACTCGTCCTACTAGGCGACTTGTAGGTTTAAACGGCTTCTCACTTTTGCTAAAAGTGATCGTTCGGTTTATTGTGTATGCCTACCCTTTCTTGGTTTAACTTTTGCTTCAACCTTCTATAACAAGTTAGTTCCCTCTATTTGTTTTGTCATGACTAGTTTGCTCGAGGACGAGCAAAAGCTTAGCTTGGGGGGATTTGATAACTTGCTATTTTATGCGGTTTTAGGGCGTATTTGAACCTAGTTTACCTGAACAAATTTGTGTTTTGGTTCACTTTTACCCTATTATTATGCAATTTTTGTGTATCCTATGCTTCACGGGTTGTTAGTGTTTTTGTTGAGATTTTAGGTCCAAAGACGACCAAATGAAGCCCATGGTTACCAAACCGAGGTTAGAAGCAAGGAAATGATGGAAAGAATCCAAGTACAAGAGCATCGTAGAAGAAAACACGAAGAAAAGGGCCCAGAAGACCCTGCACGGCCGTGCAAGATGTTGCACGTCCGTGCAGGAGTGCAGACTTGAAGCCATCTTTCTGCCAAGGCCTGCACGGACGTGCCAAATATTGCACGTCCGTGCAGATGATGCAGCACGGACGTGCTTCCGTGATTATGAGGCAGCACGGCCGTGCAAGATGTTGCACGTCCGTGCAGGAGTGCAGACCTGAAGCCATCTTTCTGCCAAGGCCTGCACGGACGTGCCAAATATTGCACATCCGTGCAGATGATGCAGCACGGACGTGCCAAAGGTGCACGCCCATGCTGCAGCAGGTCGTCTTAAACTGAGTTTCTGCCTTGGTCTGCACGGACGTGCCAACTTCAGCACGTCCGTGCAGAGCTACAGTTTACCCGTTTCTTGTTTTCACCGTCCTCTTATTTTAGGGGGTAATATAAATAGCCCCTTTGGACCATTTTAGAGGGGTTCCCAATTTTTCCAGATTTTCATACTCCTCTTAGTTTGAAACACAAAAATCCTCAAATTAGCATAGATTTTAGTTCTTGTTTTGAAGGTTTTTCAATCCAATCATTGTAGAAGACAAGTTCCACCATTGTTAGTCAATTATTGAAGCTTCTAGTAATTTTTTCTTACTCTTTCTTTCTCTCTTCTATCTTTAATTCTTGGTTTTTATTAATTGTTTGGTTGTTCTTTGCATGTTTAATTGTTAGATTCTACTTAATTCTTAGTTTTAATTTGTTCATGAATTCCTTGAAATCTTTAATTGCTTTAACCTCCATGGATTGTGAGTAGTCTAATTTCTAGGGTTTGGGTGAACCCTCAATGTAATCACCAACACTTGTTGCATGAACTAATTTGTTAATTGTGGGGTGTTAATTAGTTGAGTTTAAGAGGTTTCATTGTTAATTCTTGTAATTGGCCATTGCTTGAATTATTTATCTAGCTTCCTCAACGAAGGATCGAGAGATGAACTTGAGGAAGCTCCCTTATGCTTGATTGACTTGATTTGCCATGAGAATAGGAATTTCTAGTCAAGGGAATTTGCATGTTATCGTGAGGATGTTTTAACACTTGTTTCTTGCCCATAATCACGAGAGTAGGTTATGGTTTTGATGTCAAGTAATCCCTCTTGCTTGAGAGAGTAGTTGGGTGCATTTGATAACTTCCCCTAATTTATCCCCTAAATCACCATTTCTATGCATGCTACTTGTGGTCCGTGATGAAGTTTAGTGGTGTAACCCGTGCCCTAGGCCTTCTTAATATTGTTAATCACCTCTTAGAATTAGTTGATTTGAATTAGAATAGTGTGACGTAATACCAACTTAAAACCCCCGACTTAATCTAGCTTGTTTAAACAATAACATTTGGTGGTTGATTCAACGCCTCTCATGGGTTCGACCCTTTCTTGCCCTTGCTACTAGTTGAGTAGGATCGAGTTAGGTCTTATTTCTTGATAGGTTGACGACGTCCTATCAAGTTTTGGCGCCGTTGCCGGGGAGGCAAAGTCACATTGAATAAGTTATTGTTGAATGAGTCTAGATTTGTGTATATGTATATAATCTTCTTATTTTGTTTTTGTTTAAGCGTGTTTACTTTGTGATAGTCATTGCTAACGTTTTCCTTAGCTTTGTTTGACTGTGCATGACACGGAGGAGTAAGCAATCACCTCTTATCCCCGTAGATCCGGAGTTAAATAGAACTTTGAGGAACGTAAGAAGGCTCCTACAAGGCACGCCGGAATTTTCTCTAGCTTATACGGATTCCGAGTCGGAGGATAATCTTGACAACGAGCAAGAGATGGCCAACCCACCGCCTCCTCCACTTCTACAAGACTATGACCACCCCGATGCATTCCAACTTTGGAGTGGCATACTTCTTCCCACCACCAATGCAAACAACTATGAGTTCTCTCCTCAACTCATAAGGATGATCCAAAGTGAACAGTTCGGGGGGAGTGCAAATGAGTGCCCTCTAGCTCATTTAGACAACTTCCTTGAGTTGTGCACTACCATCAAGCAAAACAACCTCACGGAGGAATTCATTTGGATGCATATGTTTCGGTTCTCTCTTAGGGACAAGGCTAAGTGTTGGTTGAGGTCCGTGAAAGAAGGATCCTTAACAACATGGGAAGAGGTTACCAAAGCATTTCTTGGGAAGTTTTGTCCGCCCGAAAAGACCGCGGAATTGAGAAGGAAGATTACAAGCTTCACTCAAGAGGATGATGAAACCTTAGGTGAAGCATGGGAAAGATTCAAGGATCTAAAGAGGAAGTGTCCACACCATGGGTTGCCTTTATGGATGATTATTCAAAGCTTCTACGACGGTCTCACTCCTACCTCAAGGGCGAATCTTGACAACGGAGCCGGTGGTAGTCTTAAAAAGCTACCGGTGCAAGAAGCCGAGAATATGATTGAAGAAGTTGCAAGGCATTACGCCTATAGATATGATAGAAGAGAAAGTCAACCGAAGAAGAAAGGTATGCATGAGTTGAGTGCAATAGATCTCATTGCCTCAAAGTTTGATATGCTAGCTCACAAGCTAGACCAAGCAACCTCCTCAAGCGGTACCTCCTCTTCACAACCACAACCACAAGTCATGTCTTGTGAGACTTGTGGGGGTAATGATCACATGGCTTCATATTGCAATGCTACTAATGAGCAAGTTGCGGCCATGAACCAAAGAAATGAGCAACCTTTCAATCAAGGTTGGAGGCAACAAAACCAAGGGTGGAGACAACCCAATCAAAACCAACAACCCAACTACAACAACCCTCCTCAAAACATCTACAACCAAAATAAACAAAATCACCAAGCCCCATACCGCCATCCAAACCAACAAAGACAGCAATTCAACCAACAACCTCCTCCACCCCAAAAGACTTCCCTTGAGGCCGCTCTTGAGTCTTTCATAAATCAACAAGGGAAGAGCAATGCAGAAATGAGCTTCAACATCCAACAACTTCAAGCGCACAACAAAATAATTGAGAATCAACTAGCTCAAATTGCACAACAAGTTGGGAGTTCTACCTCCAATGCTAGTGGTCAATTTCCAAGCTCAACGGTTGTGAACCCAAAGGAGCATGTCAAGGCTATCACATTGAGGTCCGGGAGAGGGTATGAAGATCCGGTAATGAGTGAAGATGTGCCACAAAAGAGAGATGAGGGTGTGGAGGTGAGAAGTGAGAATGATGTTGAAAATGAGGTGGTAGAAGTTGAGAGAAAAGAAAAAGAAAAGAGTGTTGAGGGAGACACAAAGAAAGGAGAGGGAGTTGAAGTTGAAGTGGAGAAACCCCCAATGAGAGTCTACAAGCCACCTATTCCTTTCCCTCAAAGGTTGGTAGAGAAAAAATTGAATGAGAAGTTTTTCAAAGTTCCTTGAGGTCATGAGAGGGCTCCAAGTGAACATTCCATTTCTTCATGCTATGTCACAAATGCCTACATATGCGAAATTTTTAAAAGATCTCTTGTCCAACAAAAGTAGGCTTGAAGAGAGTGCAACCATCTCCCTTCCAATGGAGGTGAGCGCAATCATTCAAAACAAGCTTCCCCGAAAGCTTGGTGACCCGGGTAGCTATGCAATTCCGGGGAAGATTGGAGATATGGAAGCCATGGATGCTCTTTGTGATCTTGGGGCAAGTGTAAGCTTGATGCCCTTCTCAATTGCGAAAAATTTAAAAGTTGGTGAGATGAAGCCAACAAGAATCTCAATACAATTAGCCGATCGTTCGGTTAGGTTACCAATGGGAATACTTGAAGATGTACCGGTACAAGTGGGAAGAGTTTTTGTACCTTGTGACTTTGTGGTGATGGAAATGGAGGAGGACAACAAGGTTCCTCTCATTTTGGGAAGGCCGTTCTTGAACACGGCGGGAGTGGTAATTGATATGAAACAAGGCAAGCTAACATTGAATGTGGGAGATGAGAAAATTTCTTTCTCATTCTCGCAAGCCATGAGGAAGCCTATGTATGAGGATATCAATAGAATCGATACTCTTGACCGAGAAGTGGAGGAATTGAAGATGATGAACAATAGCAAAGATACTCTACAAGCGATCCTCACGGAAAGTTTGTACAATGATGATGATGAAGCTAAGGGGTACAAGTTGTTGTTAGACCAACCCCTACATGGCAAGGCAAGGGAGTTTGAAGCACTTAAGGTGGAGGTAAAAGAGGAGAGGTCTACGCCTCCTCCTAAGGTTGAACTTAAACCCCTTCCCCCTTCACTTAAATACGTTTTTCTTGATGATAATGAGACTTATCCTGTTATTGTCAATACCAACCTTGATGACACTTCCCTTGAGAAACTCCTAGTTGTGTTGAGGGAGTATAGGAGTGTCATTGGGTATGCCATTGATGACATTAAGGGGATAAGTCCCACGATATGCATGCACAAGATTTTGCTTGATAATGATCATGACTCCTCAATTGAGCACCAAAGAAGGCTCAACCCCAACATGAAAGAAGTTGTTAAAAAAGAGGTTTTGAAACTTCTTGAAGCGGGCATAATCTACCCTATCTCCGATAGCAAGTGGGTTAGCCCGGTTCAAGTTGTTCCAAAAAAAGGGGGCATGACCATTATCAAGAACGATAAGGGTGAGACCATTTCTACAAGGTCGGTCACCGGGTGGAGAATGTGCATAGACTATCGAAAATTGAACAAATCCACTCGGAAGGACCACTTCCCTCTCCCCTTTATCGATCAAATCTTGGAAAGGTTGGCATCACATAGTCACTATTGCTTCTTGGATGGGTATTCGGGATTCCTCCAAATCCCTATCCTACCCGAGGATCAAGAGAAGACTACATTCACATGCCCTTTTTGCACCTTTGCTTATCGAAGGATGCCATTTGGATTATGTAATGCACCTTCTACATTTCAAAGGTGTATGATGTCTATCTTTTCCGACATGCTTGAATCATCAATCGAGGTATTTATGGATGACTTTTCTGTTTGCGGTTCATCTTTTGACACTTGCCTAAGTAATTTGATTAAAGTGTTAAAAAGATGTCAAGAGGTGAACCTTGTGCTTAATTGGGAAAAATGTCATTTCATGGTTGAAGAGGGTATTGTGTTGGGACATGTTGTTTCTAGTAGGGGCATTGAGGTTGATCGTGCCAAAATTGAGGTTATTGAGCGCCTCCCTCCCCCCACTAATGTGAAGGGTATAAGGAGTTTTCTTGGACACGCGGGTTTTTACCGCCGGTTCATTAAAGATTTTTCCAAAATCGCTAAGCCGCTCACTCAATTGTTGGTAAGGGATGCCCCTTTTGTGTTTTCTAATGATTGTTTGCTAGCCTTTGATAGGTTGAAGGAAGCTTTGATCACGGCTCCCATCATTCAACCACCGAATTGGGAGCTCCCTTTTGAACTCATGTGTGATGCTTCGGACTATGCCGTTGGATCTGTGCTTGGGCAAAGGAAGGATAAAAAGCTCCATGCCATCTATTACACTAGCAAAACTCTTGATGAAGCACAAAGAAACTACACAACGACTGAAACAGAGCTCATAGCCATCGTCCATGCTATCGAAAAGTTTAGGTCTTACTTGGTGGGCTCCAAAGTTATAGTCTTCACCGACCATGCGGCTTTGATTGAAATAGCTTTATTTAGAATGTATTTGACTTTCATTTGATTCGAAATCTTTGTTTGAATGTGTTTGACTTTCATTTAATTCAATTAGCTTTGTTTGAATGTGTTTGACTTTAATTTAATTCAATTAGCTTTGTAGAATGTATTAGACTTTTATTTGATTTAATTAGCTTTGTTTTAATGTATTTGACTCTCATTTGATTCAAATAGCTTTGTTTGAATGTGTTGACTTTCATTTGATTCAAATAGCTTTGTTTGAATGTGTTTTACTTTCATTTGATTCAATTAGCTTTGTAGAATGTATTTGACTTTCATTTGATTCAATTAGCTTTATTTGAATGTGTTTGACTTTCATTTGATTCAAATAGCTTTATTTGAATGTGTTTGACTTTCATTTGATTCAATTAGCTTTGTAGAATGTATTTGACTTTCATTTGATTCAATTAGCTTTGTTTGAATTTATTTGACTCTCATTTGATTCAAATAGCTTTGTTTGAATGTGTTTGACTTTTCATTTGATTCAATTAGCTTTGTAGAATGTATTTGACTTTCATTTGATTCAAATAGCTTTGTTTGAATGTGTTTGACTTTCAATTGATTCAATTAGGTTTGTTTGAATGTGTATGACTTTCATTTGATTCAATTAGCTTTGTAGAATGTATTTGACTCTCATTTGATTCAAATATCTTTGTTTGAATGCGTTTAACTTTCATTTGATTCAATTAGCTTTGTAGAATACATTTCACTTTCATTTAATTTAAACAACTTTGTTTGAATGTGTTTGACTTTCATTTGACTCAAATAGCTTTATTTGATTGCGTTTTACTTTCATTTCATACAATTAGCTTTGTAGAACGTATTTGACTTTCATTTGATTCTAATAGCTTTATTTGATTGTGTTTGACTTTCATTTGATTCAATTAGCTTTGTAGAATGTATTTGTTTTTCATTTGAGTCAAATAACTTTGTTTGACTGTGTTTGACTTTCATTTGTTTCAATTTGCATTGTAGAACGCATTTGACTTTCATTTTCTTCAAATAGCTTTGTTTGAATGTGTTTGACTTTCATTTGATTCAATTAGCTTTGTAGAATGTATTTGACATTCATTTAATTAAAATAGCTTTGTTTGAATGTGTTTGATTTTAATTTGATTCAATTAGCTTTGTTTGAATGTCTTTGACTTTCATTTGATTCAATTAGCTTTGTAGAATGTATTTGACTTTCATTTGATTCAAATAGCTTTGTTTGAATGTGTTTGACTTTCAATTGATTCTATTAGCTTTGTAGAATGTATTTGACTGTCATTTGATTTAAATAGCTTTGTTTGAATGTGTTTGAATTTCATTTAATTCAATTTGCTTTGTAGAATGCATTTCACTTTCATTTGATTTATATAGCTTTGTTTGAATGTGTTTGACTTTCATTTAAATTAAAAGCTTTTTTTAAATGTGTTTGACTTTCATTTGATTTAAAAGCCTTTGTTTGAATGTGTTTGACTTTCATTTGATTCAATTAGCTTTGTAGAATGTATTTTACTTTTATTTGATTTAATTAGCTTTGTTTAAATTTATTTGACTCTCATTTGATTCAAATAGCTTTGTTTGAATGTGTTTGACTTACATTTGATTCAAATAACTTTGTAGAATGTATTTGACTTTCATTTGATTGAAATAGCTTTATTTAGAATGTATTTGACTTTCATTTGATTCGAAATCATTGTTTGAATGTGTTTGACTTTCATTTGATTCAATTAGCTTTGTTTGAATGTGTTTGACTTTAATTTAATTCAATTAGCTTTGTAGAATGTATTAGACTTTTATTTGATTTAATTAGCTTTGTTTTAATGTATTTGACTCTCATTTGATTCAAATAGCTTTGTTTGAATGTGTTGACTTTCATTTGATTCAAATAGCTTTGTTTGAATGTGTTTTACTTTCATTTGATTCAATTAGCTTTGTAGAATGTATTTGACTTTCATTTGATTAAAATAGCTTTGTTTGAATGTGTTTGACTTTCATTTGATTCAATTAGCTTTGTTTGAATGTGTTTGACTTTCATTTGATTCAATTAGCTTTGTTGGATGTAATTAGCTTTCATTTGATTCAATTAGCTTTGTTTGAATGTGTTTGACTTTCATTTTATTCAATTAGCTTTGTAGAATGTATTTGACTCTCATTTGATTCAAATAGCTTTGTTTGAATGCATTTAACATTCATTTGATTCAATTAGCTTTGTGGAATACATTTCACTTTCATTTAATTTAAACAACTTTGTTTGAATGTGTTTGACTTTCATTTGACTCAAATAGCTTTATTTGATTGCGTTTGACTTTCATTTGACTCAAATAGCTTTGTTTGAATGTATTTGACTCTTATTTGATTCAAATAGCTTTGTTTGAATATGTTTGACTTTCATTTAACTCAAATAGCTTTATTTGATTGCGTTTGACTTTCATTTGATACAGTTAGCTTTGTAGAACGTATTTGACTTTCATTTGATTCAAATAGCTTTATTTGAATGTGTTTGACTTTCATTTGATTCAATTAGCTTTGTGGAATGTATTTGACTTTCATTTGATTCAATTAGCTTTGTTGAATGTATTTGACTTTCATTTGATTCAATTAGGTTTGTTTGAATGTGTATGACTTTCATTTGATTCAATTAGCTTTGTAGAATGTATTTGACTCTCATTTGATTCAAATAGCTTTGTTTGAATGCGTTTAACTTTCATTTGATTCAATTAGCTTTGTAGAATACATTTCAGTTTCATTTAATTTAAACAACTTTG